GTATGTTCCTGTATGACTGAAGCATTGTGCTGTACACCAGAAATCAACACAACGTTGTAAACTGATTGTACTTCAATAAAAGTATATTAAAAAAACAAAACCAAAAACAAACAAAAAACCTTTGCTTGCCCTACACTCCATCATTAATATAAATGCTGCTTGGGATTAACGGCGCTTCAACAAGTGTTCCTCTTTGGGCGGGGGTGGGAAATCAAAGGCAGTTTTGGATACAGTACAGCTTTTCTTTTAAAAAATGAAAGTGATTTTAAACTACACAGTGTTACAAGATGACATTTCTTAAGCCCTGACTTCCAGGCTTACCATGCACCTGTAACCTTTTTTCTCTGCTTCTTAAGCATTTCTTCAACACAGTCCCTGTCTGGTCCTGCAGCTCTAGGAACCCCTGAGTCCCTGGTACAGACATCCGGCCATAGGCACCAGGGAGGTTTCAAGCACAGACTATGAACCACATCAGAAGCTCTTTTTCTGGTTTCTGTACAAAAGTAAGCTTTTGGTTCCTGTAAAATTAAGAAAAAGAGTCTACTCACCCTACTATACCAAGCTGTCTACCCTGTTTCATCTAAAAAAGTATGCGACTTAACAGATAACAACCTCACAGCAATGCACAGACAGGACCAGAAACTCCCTGGAGGGGCCCCTGGGGTATCTTCAGAAGAAAAGGGAATTTTTTTTAATGCTGTTAAAATGTCAAAAGGAAAAATGCAAAAATGTCTTTGGATCCTTTGGATGCCAACAAAGCTGGACCCCATGCCCTGCCCTCTTGTCCGCCCTGTGGCAGACACAGACCGGCACACGGGAGCCCTGGGTGAGCAGCCAAGACCGCTCCCGTTCAAGAGTGCACTTCCCCCGTGCGTCACTAGGCGGCGCAACTGGCTCTCGGCTCCCATCCACGTGCTCCCTTAAGGGCCCTCAGTCAGAGCAGGAGGCCTGCAGACGCCCACTCCTCAGCTGCCCCCGTGGTGCCTGCCTGGTGCCTGCCGCTCAGAGCACTGGAGGGCCCTCCTATGGTTTTCAGCGGTGAGATTTCATAGAGGAAGCAATTCTGGCCAGCAGGCTTTGTTCTGGAAATTTTAAGCAGGGTTGACTCTGCACTGTTTGGGAGGAATTAGTTATCTGGTTTGTCACTCATTTTTCTACTTCAGGCTGCAAGTGGCCTGTTTTGCTCCAGTTTAATCCATATTCTGATGCAAGAACACAGGGCATCCTCAGCATCTCCTGTCCATAAGGACCAAACTCCTGTAACCGCGCACACCAGGGCTGGGTTGACATGTCTTCCCGTCAGAGTGGGAACTCGTCAACTCTCTCCGCAGGCACAGCCCAGGGGCTATGAACCCAATGTACCAGACTTTCCTTTCCAGATCCATCAGGTCCCCACGGGCAATGCTCCCTCACAAACCCATCTGGGTCCTGCTTCTGCAGTGGGACCGGTAGTGCTACAGGATGCCCACCACAGGGCTCTGCTCGCACCAGCCCCTGCCCCAGACAAAGCTTCGGTGATACCCAGTTCCAGAGCTTTCCCTCTGCCTCCTCTCCTCCACCAGCTGGCCCCTCCCTTTTCAGTAACCGACTCCTAAACAGAACCTGGACCTACGTATCAAATAAGAAAGCTACTAAAGAAGCTAGTCCTCGACTTTTGCCTCCAGGGGTCCAAGTGACTCAGCTTCAGGGGATTTTCGAGAGCATTTCTGACCAAATGTAATTTTTGCCTTCAACACTTACTTGAGGATCTTGGCCCCAAAGTGACATGGCTCCATTGCAGGACTGCTGTCGGACAGGTTGCTATGACTTTAGGACCATTGGAAATGGTCTCCATGCATATGAGTATTAAATAAACTGACCTTGGCTTTCTTCTTTGTTGCTTTAATCCCGCCTCTGTCTTTCCTTTAAGAATCAAGGCATCCAAGATAATTCAACTGGACAGTCCATCCATCCAACCATCTACCGGCTTAACTGTATGACTTTAAAACTCTGATCTTAGGGAGGGAGGTGTAACTCAGTGGTAGAACACATGCTTGGCATTCACGAGGTCCTGGGTTCAATTCCCAGTGCCTCTGTTAAGGGAAGGAAAAAAAGTACAAAGTAAAAACAAAAAAACCCCTGATCTTAAACCTTTTACTACTGCAGGCTCTTCTTTACACATAAATACCTAAAATTCAGAGCACTGTCAGTACAAAATTATGTCTATCTCTTCTCTTTTTTAATGCATTGCTTTTTTAAAAGAACTGTTTATTTCATCTAGGTTTTTTACATTTTACTTTTTAGGGAGTTGTAGGAAGTCACCTCTCTTTTTTTTTAAATGAAGGTACTGGGGACTGAACCCAGGACCTCATACACACTAAGCATGTGCTCTGCCACTGAGCTACACCCACCTCCCCATGTCTATTTCTGATAAAGTACACTTTCTATATAAATTAAAACATAAAATATGTCACTGAAATAAAGTAAAACTATAATCTAAAAATTGTTTTAAATAATCCATTTTAATCATCTAAATTATTTACAAATATAATAACAAGGATTCATCCTTTTTAGAGACATGGGGTTATAAAAATCAAATGAGGATACAATAATACATTAAAATATATTCATTAATTTTTTTCAGTACTCAAAATTTTTCCTCCATGAGAGAGCAGGCTCTCGACCAAAGTGCCTAATATACAAAAGTCTTCCCAATTTCCTCCCATAAGACCAGTTGGAAGAGAAAAGGTTAATTACCTTCTATCTTCAAAGTTTCTCCCTACTAAGTCTTCCCAGGCAGAAGGCAGCTCCTGGCATGGTGCTGTTTGGCAGCAGGAAAGGGCAGACCAAGGCAGGGACCAGGCCAGCCCGGATACAAATCCCAAGACACAGGAGGCCCAGGCCTTCCTGCTGAAGCTCATGTCTACCTGTGCCTCCGAGATCGTGTGCACAGCGCCACTCGGGGCCTTTAGGGTGATTTATTGAGTGATGTGCTTCTTACCTTCCAAGAATCAAAATGGTCCTATCACCCCCGATAGAGGAAAAAAAAGAGCCAAGTCATGGTTCATGCCTTTCCCCCGCTTCACTGAGCTTTTAACCAGTCTTACCCTGAAAACAAGATCAAAAGAGCCCTCATCTAAATGACCCCTAAACTACCTTTTGCAGTCTACGTGATTCTTTTTGGTGGCACACTTCCAACCCGACCCCTCTACAGTTTATACTGTCCGTCTGTGTGCCTCTCGAATAAGATTGGTGGGATGGGTTTGCTGCAGGTGTGAATAAGGAGGGAAGGAGCAATAAATATGCCTTTGTGTGTGGTACAGACAGCGGTCAGGACTTGTGTCCTGCAGCTGGCCCGCTCGTGCCCTCTGACCTCAGAGATATTTTTGGCTGATTGCTAAGCGTTCTTCCCTCTCTACAACTTCTTGAAGACAAACCTGATGGTGCTTCTTTAAACTTACAGGATTCACCTTCTATTCCACCTGCAGGACTGCAAGGAGGGGTCACCACACTCGATGTGACGCCCCTTCAGTCACAAAATTGGCAGACACAGTGTCTCCTGCACCACTGTCTGCCTTCCAGATGGGCACCAGTGCCGATGACAAAGGGAGGTGACAACAGTGAAGCTGGTTTTCTTTTCTTAAGTGAGAAGATTTTAAATAATAAGCATTTTCATTCCCTTGCAAGCTTAATCTGGTAACTTGATTGCTAAAAAAATAATAAAAATGGGGGGAGGGCATAGGTCAGTGGTAAAATGTGTGCTTAACATGCACGAGGTCCTGGGTTCAACCTGAGTACCTCCATTTAAAAAAATAAGAATAAAAATTTAAAAATTAAAAAAATACACCATAAATAAACCTGTGTGCTAAACAATCTTTTTACTTGATGACACCTCTAGTTTACATCAGAGAAAAGAGAAAAGGTTCTGAATAAAGTCCCTTAGTCACAAGAGCGTGAACCTGGACAGGGTATGGGAGATGCATCCATGAACCTCAGCTCTCTCCTGCCCTCGATTTCATGGGGAGGGTTATGCTTTTAGGAATGAAAATCATTGATCACAAAGATGAACATCCCCTCCCCAAACTTAGTGACTTGGGGATGTCATGAGAATGATGACATTGGGTCAGTTCACCTTTTTCTGGGTCTCTCCCCTCAGGCCAAGCAGCCAGACGGCCCAGGGAGTCTGGGGTAAACACATGACTGTCTGATCCCAGGGCCCTGAACACAAAGCTTTTCAGCCCAGTGGCGTCTAGGACGTGTGAGTAATTCTGCAAACTCACGGTCAGGTCTTTAATACTTTGGGGAGGGGGGTGAGGTGCACAGAGATCAGCCAGGACTCTTTTCGAGATTCATCTAGCGTCCTCTCTTAAAAAAACTTACTGACATCGTCTTAGGGTTTGCTGGGTTAAGGACTGTTGCTAAAACACTTTTTAAAAAAATCCATTTTGAACGCACGTATAAGCTTGTGAGAAGACACATGCACCCTCGTTGCAGTTAGAAAGTCAACAGGCTGATGCATCAAGTGTTGTCTAAAATCCTGTACACTTTATGGGTGTCCAATTCTAATGCCTTGTGTAGGTAACGGATTCCCTCATTCACCTTCTGAACCATCCATAATTTCCCCTAAAACTGCCCGACTCAGCTCAGTTTAGAAGTCATGAGGGAACTTGAGACACTGCGTCTTAGACACAAGGAGAGATGGGGCGGGAAGCAGATGTTGGGGGAAGGGGGTAGGGACCAAAAATCCACTTCTTTTTAGCAGCCTTTCCTGCTCCCTCCAAGAGCCCGCTGGGCCATGCACCTCCATGGTGGGCAGGGAGCACCCCAGCTTGTTACAGGAGGCATCGACTCTTAAAAACCCAGAACTGCGGGGGAACGCTGTTGTCATCACCCACACAGACGAGCGGAAGCTACAGACAGAGAGCCACTACGGATGGTGCTGGGAACAGAGGTGAGAATGGCCCAGAACTCCGCCTCCGGTGGGGGTGCCAGGTTTACAGGACTGACGGCGGTGCCCTCACCAGACCCCTCCTCCTCCTCCTCCTCCTCCTCCTCGGCCGTGGGCGGCTCCTGCATCTCCTCTGGGAAGGCCTGAGGCCGGCTCGGGTAACTTCTGCTGCCTGAGACAGTCACGCGTGCCCGGGACCTCTCACCTGAGGTCTCTGGGTGCTGAACTGGCGTGGAGGTAGCTAGGCCCGGGAGGGAAATGTGGTCACCTGTGTCATCTTCCTCAAAGTCGTTAAGGCAGTACACTTCGTCCAGGTCAACATCAAGCGTCCGGAAGCCCTTGGTGACCACCCCGGGCCGGGGGTCCAGGATGCCCCCCAGGTGAGGCTGGGCCAGCTGCTGCCAGTGGTGAAGGGTGGCCGAACCTTGCAGGAGAAGGGGGGGGGTGACATGGAGAAGAGAGCGTTAGGACGGGGGTCTCAGCAGACAGATGGCTCCAATGCAGAGCAAGGGCCGCGAGGCCCTGGGCGCCACAGCTGGGCTCTGGAGGAGATGCCCAGGGCTGCCTTTGTCCCTCCCCGGCCACGCCCGGAAGGGGCACCCATTTAAGGACAAAAATCTATTTTTTTACAAAGTAAAATAAATGCCCTACTATGCACCAGCAATGTTCAGTAACAAACTATTTTAATCAACCAAGGTCAACCCCCAAGTCCAAACAGAATCACTTTAGAAACAGAGGAGGAAGAAATAAGCAAGGAAAGCACTGAGACGGGGCGGGAGGCGGGCTCGGGTACCCATTCTACGCCACGTACACGCTGCTGGGAACAGGGGGTGCGTCACAGAGGCAGAGTAAGTCAGGCCAGCCCCAGGACCCACAACAAGACAAAAGCAAAGAGAAATTACAGCAGAGATAAGGGGTGAGCACGTCCGTCACCCCTTTCCCTAGGTCTTCTGTATTCTGCCAGCAACCTTGATACTGCAGGTTTAGGGAGTGGGAATTGGCTTAAACAGATGTGATTTAAGAACACGTAAGCCCACACAGAGGTCTGAAACACAGGAGCCAATCTCCTCGGTGACACCAGACCCCGGGACTCAGGTGACACTGTGCAAGGTCTGTAATAACACCGGAGTGAGTCCCTGAGGACCTGGGGGCGCACCAGGTGCTCACAGAGAGAGGCGTTCTAAGTCCAAGCCTGCTTAGGAACCTAGGTGGAGAAGTGTATTTACTGAGGAGTAACATCTCAGAGCCTTTAGCCTGCCGCTCTGTGCTGAGATCCTGCCCAGTCCATCTGCCAGAGAAAAACCTTTCCCCTTGGGACACTTATGACCCCCTCACTTGGCCCTGCAGTGCCGAATGGGCGTTCTATCCCCGTTCTGCAGATGAAGAAGGCAGCCACACAGATAACATTCCACACTCAAGAGAGACTTTGAGAGCGGTTCTCAGGCATGAAAAGCAAGAGCCTCCCAGTCACCGCTGGTTCCCCAAGGGCGTCCTCTGCTGGGTGGGCAAGAATCCCTCCGGGCTACCGGGCTGCCCTGGGGAACACAGAAAGGGGAACCCGGGACGCCAGGAGCTCAGGAGCAGGATAAAAGAGAAGGGACGGGCAGGCAGGCGGTGGGGCAGGGAAGTGGTCCAGGAATCTGACCGAGCTCCCTGGCCCTCCGCTGTGCCCGGTGAGCACACTGCACCCAAAACACTGCCGGGAAGTAACTTTTGGGAGAGTCTCAGCCAAGGAATCTTACAAGGATTTTGTCAACAGGCCATTTCAAATCCACTTCAAAGAGAAAAAAATTGTACGTGCTCTTAGGGTCTATGCCGATTTTGAGTACCACAAGTACAGTAGCAACCTACTTAACCCAAATCTACTGAATGTAAGCAGAAAATATTCTAAATGCAAAAAAGAAAAGAAACAAGAGGTGCATGTAATGAGAAAGCGCGTCACTGAGAGCTGCGGTTCTCAACAGGCACTGAGCGACATCCGGAGACGTTTCTGGCTGTCACACTGTAGGGGAACAGGGGGCTAATGGCGTCTGGTGGGCAGAACCAGGGACGCTGCTGTGCATCCTAGAATGCCCAGGACGGCCCCACAGCAACGAACGATCCACCCCAACTGTCAGTAAGGCCGAGACTGAGGAGCCCTGACCCAGAGCTGTAGTTCTTAATTCTCAGATCCTTCGAGAATCTGATGGAGTCGTGAACTCTCTCCCCCAAGGAGCTCACATGCAAGCGGCGCTGGGCTGCCAGGGCTCTGCAGACCTGCGGAAACCAGCCCCCGGGACCCCGAGTCCCAGCTACCACAGCACCATTGTTAAAAAAGCTGCCCTGCACGGAGGCGCGCCTGCAGGGAGGCCTGTTGTGCGTGGATCACCTCGACTTATGCCTCGAAACCGCCATGTGAGGTGTTACTACCCACACCTCACAGGCGCGGGAACTGAGGTTCACTGAAGTTGTCTGACTTCCAAAGCCGCTGAGTTCGTGGCAGCATAAGCAGGGCTCAGCACTAACGGCCCGGCTCCCTCCATAACCGCACGCTGCCTCCCTCCCCGAACCGAACCGCAGGGCTGAAGACAAGCAAGGACGTCAGCGCTCCAGGGGGACCTGGGCGCGGGGAGACCGCGCGGGCACACGCGGCGGCCGGGCAAGCTCAGGGCGCGCTGGGAGAGGCACGCGCTCCCGCTGCTGGGGCTTCTCCTGCCACCCCGGGACCCCCATGCCCAGTAACCCCATATGGGCCCCCTATGTGTGTGTTCGCCGACCACGTGTCCACATTCGTGGCAATGACACCGCACTGGAGAGAAGTCATCAACAAGGTGTTATGACACCCAGGTTGGGGCTGCACATCCAGGTCTTGGAAGAGGAGAAACCCCGGGGTGCAATGTGGCCACGTCACCCCTACGTTTGCAGAGAGACTAAAGGGAAAGTCGACACATTGGGCAGTGAAGAACCTTGTCAAGGAAGTGCAGGATCCCCTCATCCTTCTGAAGGGGATTCGAGACGTTCATACGCACCGGGAAAGAACTCGTTGAGGCTGGAGGTCTGGGCCCGGACGAAGGTCCCATGGGCCTCCATCCTCCACCTGTTCAACAGGCTGCCCCCATCTCTCCCCACCCCACGCGGGAGTTCGAGAGTGACGAGGCTCCAGAGGGCTGCTCTCTGGAAAGCGGCTACAGAAGTGCATGGAGTTACCTGCAGTCCCTGAAACTGCATAGCCAGCAAATCTCATGAGACTGAAAGGGAAAGGTGATGCTGGCCGATGCATTGTACTGGCTTCTCACTCCACACCTTGGGCCTCCTTTATTCACAGAGCCGACCTCACTGAGCACTAAGGGCCAGGCTCTCTTCTAAGACGTCTACTTTTACTACTCACTTAACCATCACAATAACCCTGTAATCCCCATTTTACAGACGAGGAAACAGCACAGGGAGGTAAAGTAACTTGCCAGAGGCTGCACAGCTGGCAAGTGGCCGGTCTGGGATTCAAACCCAGGCTGGTCCAGTGTCCATCCTCTTAACTGCGCAGTCCGCCTCTCTGCCAGCAGTGAGGAGACCTCATGTATGTGAGTCTTAAAAATCACATTAATAACACATCTGAACGGTTTTCTAATCCTCAAATAGGTATTTTCTGTTCTGCAAAAGCGACTACTGGCAAAAGCCTCGGCAAATCTGACATTTGAGCTGTGCGGAGTTGTGGGGCCCGCGGGCTACCTCCACTCCTGGCTCTGAGGCCCCAGGAGGGTGTGCTGAGCCCAGCACCGGGGCAGAGCCCCTTCCACATCATCTCCCGTCCACTGCCACTGCCTGGACCGCCACGTAGGAGTTCCCCTGACCTCCTGGCTGCCGAGTCCTTCCTATGATACAAGAGGTGTAAAATTTCAAAATTAAATATAAACTGCGTCTTATTCAGACCTTTGTTGCATCTTTCCTACCCCGTTTTCCCAGCTCTCCCCTCAGCAGGCCAGCTTCCTTCATCTGTTAAGCACAAAGCAGGAGAATCACCGTACTGGCCGCCTCCCGGTACCGCCACCTCCTTCACCCACGAGGGAGTGAAGCTGGGGTCAGGCAGGCAAAGAGAGGAGCGTTCGTGTTCCCAACTGGCACCGAGAGGAAGGTCCACGGAGCAGGGTGTGGATGGTGCCTACAAGTAGTTACAGGCACCGTCCCTTTCCTTCTGTTTGCTTTCTCTCACCCCGCTGTTCTAGCTAAAAAGCTTTCACATCACCAAGGGAGAAGAAAACTAAATCCATTTACGTCAGCAGAGCACCTGGGGCTTAAAAGTTAGAACCATACCTGCTGGATAACGTACAGCTTAAAAGCGTCTGCTTTTCTCTAATTACGTATTACCTTGTTTATTTGGAAATCCTACCTGGGTATAATTAATCAAAAAGGAAGAGCAAAATACAGGGGGGAAATACTGCCCGACTCATCTTTTTAATGCAGATATATCTCTTTCTAGTTTGAATGTTTTGTTTGTTCTCCACCTGCTTAAAACGTGTAAGGGAAGATGAACAGACAAGAATACTAGCATTCTGAAACACCTAGCCCAGCTGTTCTGGTGACACCAAGGAGCAGACAGCAAGATTAATGACACAGGTAAGTGAGACACAGATGGAAGACTCAGATTGGCTATCTGCCGTGATCCCAGCCAACATCCTCCAGGGGCCTCACCCCAGGTACATTTACGGGAATCCTGTCAGCTTCTTAGTGGACCAATGGAAAAGAATGATGTAACAACACGGTCCCCGCACAACACTGGTCCTGTCTCAACATTGGTAGGGCCACCCTTTACACCTGAGTTACTGGAACAGAGGCAAGTTCAAGGAGCCTACATTTTAATAAGCACCTATTAGGTGTTGAGCATAACACAAAACACATCACATTTACTCCTTGCCACAATCTTGCGTGGCAGATGTGAGCCCTACGTCACAGTAAGAGAAACAGGGCTCCAAGAGGTGAGGTAACTTATCCAACACCACAGTTAGAGCTGTACTGAAGCCAGCATCAGGCAGACTTCCATGTCAGCACTCCACCAAATCAAATTAAACGTCATGATAAAAAAGTAATTGTGGAGGAGAGGAAGAAAAAAATATTGGTAATTATATTTTAAACAGCTAAGAAGTCAGAGGACAACAAAATGGAACCAGAGGGAGAGATCTCTATCATAAGAATAACTTACAGGCCATAGTGATACGACATGACTTTTTAACAGTAGTGACACAGGTTTCTGGTGAGCATGGTACTACAGATGAAATTTATTCTCAAAATCTAGCAGGATTTCCTCCTATTCTATTAACTTATCACAAAAATACTGCTAAGTCACAAGACTAAAAGCGAAAAAGATGAACTAGTCAAAATAATTAAAAAAATAAAAACCCTCTTCCTACAATATGCTTGGAAAATGCCAAAAACATATTCTTAGATGATCTAATGAAACACAAAGTAAAATACAGAAAGCAGACAAGATAGAGATGATAAATTCCAATGACCTTTGGGAGACAAAGGAGAAAAAAAGAAAAGAAAGGCAAAAAGTAAAATTGCAGAAATGGAAGATTTTATTGAAAGAAAAACAGACATTAATTGTGGATCAGAAAACAATCACCAAGCTTACAACTGAATAAACAATTAAAAAAAAGGATGAGCCACCCCTTTTCTGAAATCTAAGAAGGACCTAAATTACACAATTAAAAAGTAATAATGAAAAAAGAACGTTAGTCCACCCTCTTCCTTCCTTTGGAGAATGTAAGACCCAGCACTCCTTGGGTCTTTAACAAGCACAACCTCATCTTACTGCATGCATCCTCGCAGGGGCAATACTGCCCCCACGGCTGAAAACTGGTTCTTTTGGGGTGAATACCTGTACTCTTTTTAGGCACAGATATAATACATCAACAGTGTATCTGTGGCACTAAATTTTCTGGGGGGAGGGATAAGGGAATTAATGTCTAACATGGCTTCTCGAAGCGGGTAATTTTTTAAAAAGTTGAGAAATACTGCCTTACAGAAATTCTGATGTCTTTGCATTAGATGTGTAGTTCAGAATTCTCAGACTCTCCTGGGTTTCCCAACTAAAGGAGGGAAAATGAAAATCACAGATACTTGGTGGCTGTCAGCAGGAGAGTGGGTACATGGGAGACACTGTGTGACACCTAAAGCAGGAAGGAAGGAAGGAAAGAAGGGAGGGAGGGGAGTTTTCCATGACTTTAATCATGTGGGGTGTCCCTAATACTAAAAGCTGAATTTCCTCTGGAAAAGGGAGGCTTAAGTAGGTACAGAACTCACTCGTCTTCACAGCCATCCCGCTCCTGGCCCCCAGATTGTGGAGGTCTAGAAGCCTTGCTCAGAACACGCTGCCTCTGAAAAAAGCCACACCCTCTTTATTTGAAGATCAAAGCACAACATGTGAGCCAACCAACAGCAAACCGCTTTCACTTGGTTACTGAAAAACAACTTAGAGCATCTGCTTGGCATCTCTGCCCTCAACACCACAATTTTTGAGAAGTCCAAGCATTCCCTACACGTCTCAGACCCCCAGGCATCACCTAATTAACTTCTGAGGATGTCAGGAGAGCCTCTAGCTTTAAAAAAAAGATCTGTGTTTCTAAGGTTCTAAATGCAAGAGAAAAAGGAGACCAGCGCCAACACGTTTCCTTTTCTGCGGCTTAGCTGACGGGCGCGCTGGGGTTAGTCCCGGGCCTGCGCGCACATCTCCAAACCTGCGCCCGGGCCGCGGGATGCCCGGGCCCTCAGAGGAACTCAAACCAGCAGCGCGGGTGGCTGTCTCGGAAGAAAAAGGAGTAGGCGTTACAGAGGTTGCCCGCTTTCCGGTGGTGGATCAGGGACCAGAGGGAGTCGCTGAGGAGGGCAGAGAGGGGCCGAGGCCCCCTGTGATCACCTTCCAGCGGCTTCACGATCTGCAGCTTCTCAGGCAGGTAGGAGCGGCTGCTGAACGACATGCCGGAGAAGCCGGTGAACTCGGAGAAGCGGGAGTGCGTGCCGAGGGACATGATGCTCTCGGTGGGCGTCAGGGAGCCGCTGAGCAGCTCGCCCTTCTCCGCCAGCTCCCGGAGCTTCCGCTCCTGCTCCTCCTCGAAGAACCTCCTCTCCGAGAGGTAGTTCTCCCGGCGGAGGGACAGCCGCCGCAGCGCCGTCTCCAGGTCGTGGGAGCCCGGGGTGCCCGGCGTGCCCGGCTTCTTGCTGCGCGGCTCCTCGTTTCTGGAAGGAGGAGAAACGGGGTGAGCGCGGGGCACCCAGCAGGGGGCGCTGGATAGGC